TGCTTTTTAATGCACAGTCAGAAAGTCAATGAGAAAGATTAATCTTTTAATCTCATGGGTCTGGCTTCCTAGTTAGGAATATAGAAAATGCCTAAGGAACTATGTCTTCAGGAAAGAAACACTTGAACAAGCATGAATCAGTGAACCTAAATTCAACCCCACTAATGCTGTGGGGACTAGCACATGTTAGCTCTCAAGAGAAAAGTCCTCAAGGTCCCACTGTTTTTTGAAAAGTCAACAGAATCTTTATACAATGTCATTTAAAAGTGCATGATGTGTGAACAAAGAGTAATTCCAAGTATATCAAGATAGGGTGAAAATTTGCCTTTTTGCTTGGTTTTTCCTATTGTGCAACTGTTCACCATCTCTAGCTAAGCAAAGTGTAGATTTTAGTTCTATGCTGCTGTTCCTCCATCTGGACCATGCTGGTGACTTGAGGGAGGTCTAAATTTAGCTTTTGTGTTCCATTTTCCATCAGCAATATCTAAGCTTGAGATTTATGATTTACTGGACTTAAACCCTCAACCTAACATTATGAGACAGGAATCTAAGTCATTTTTTAAAAAAATCATGCAACCTTTGTCACTTTACCTTTATTATTTTTAGTTGCATCTCTGTTTTCCCTTTCTTCTTGAAAATAAAATGGCAAAACACATCTAGAAAATGATGGCTTCTCTTATCAGAGATTTTCTGCTTCTTCATAGTATGATATGTTTATAATTATGATTTATGGTATATTTATATTAAGATGTCTTATAAAAAGTAAAAATTCTATTTATCAGCTTAAATCTTTAGGAATAAAAAATTGAATGAGGGAGATAGGATGTACTCTGATCATCCCTTGGGCTGACATATTTATGAAACAAATAATTATGCCAGAAAGTTAGCATAGCATAGAATTGGCCTAGAGGTAGAACACTAAGAAAGATCTTTTAAACGTGGCCATTAAAATGTCTTTGTATTAAAGCAGAGTTAAGATATTAATCAGATAAAATTCCTGTCCGTTTTCCGCTTCTGAGTAACAAAGCTGTGTTCGTGCATTACCACGCTATTTCCACTATCTGTGAAGTCTGCAAGCTGAATCATTTGAAAAGAATTAGTCACCAGGTTCAGATTTTTTTCTTTGGCATGTCTTCATTCCATGTTTTGCTATTCCTCTAAAGCATTTTCCCATTCAATGGTGATAAAAACAAGTTTAAGATCTATGCTATATACTTAAAGCGACTAGTTTGACTGATGCTTCATTTCTAATCCCCAAAAGACATGACCAACACCTTTCCCATCTCTTCTGCTTTCAACTCCAAGAAACGAGAAATTTCTCAGCTTCTTTTGCCTTTGCCCTTCGATTTCTGATATTCTGTCTTCTCTGCCAGTAATCTTGTCTTCCCATTAAGACAAACCTGTGCATACAACACCTTTTCTTCCCTATAAAACTTTGGGAAAGACTGCCAGCCACAGCTTGTCACAGATGCCAAACTGGTGACCATTTAGACTGATTACGTCACCTACTGACAATCAGCCAAAGGAAAAGGGGTTTAATTGCAATGGAAGTAATTAGGTTGGGAATAAACAATTGCTTCACAGGCAGCTTGGACCACATACACTGCTACTGAGGCCCATGAGCATAAATCCAATAAAGCCCTCTGCACTCAGCATAGCACCTCACCCAGGGTAGGCTATGGATTTAATAAATCTGTCGTTAATGAATGGTTGAATGAAGCGGCTAGGTGACTAAAGAATAATGAAACCTCACAGGGAACTATACTTGATATTTAGCAATAACTTATAAAGGAAAAGAAACTGAAAAGGAATACATACATGTATACGTGTATACATATGTGTGTGTGTTCAGCCATCCAGTCACCCAGTCTGACTCTTTGTGATCCCACTGGCTCCTCTGTCCATGAGATTTTCCCAGCAAGAATACAGGACTGTGTTGCCGTTTCTTCCTCCAGGGGAATCTTCCTGACCCAGGGAACAAAACTGGGTCTCCTGTGTCTCTTGCATTGCAGGCAGATTCTTTACAGCTGAGCCACTGGGGCAGCCCTGTCTTGTGTGTGTGTGTGTGTGTGTGTGTGTGTGTGTGTGTGTGTATACTAAATCACTTGGCTGTATACCTGAAACTAACACAACACTGTAAGCCAACTATACTTCAGTAAATAAAATAAAGGAAAAATAAAAGACTATTGAAGCCTCCTTGCTTGTGAAATTGTAACTTTTTCTGGAATTAAAAAAAAAAAAGCCTGACTTTTCGATGGAATCTGGACTAGAGAACTTTTCAAAATTTTCCAGGCCTTTGCAAACCGAATTCTTTGTTTTTTATTTATCAGTTCATCTAACTTTCCCCCCTCCTCAAAACTTGACAGTTCTTTTCTGCTCTATTTAGAGTAAAAGCACTTACAATGGCCTGTATGACCCAAGATGGGTTCACCTGGTCCTTCCCCTCTTTACCTCTTGGACTTCAATTTTTTCTCCTTTTTCTCACTCTTTTCCTCTGGTCTCTTTGGTACTTTTTAAATATTTATTTTTATTTATTCACTTATTTGGCTGCAGTGGGTCTTAGTTGTGGCACGCAAAATTTTTAGTTGCATCATATGGGATCAAGTTAACCAGGGATTAAACCTGGGCCCCTGCATTGGGAGCACAGAGTCTTAACCACTGGACCACCAGGGAAGTCCCTCTCTTTGGTATTTCTTGGATGCCCCAGGCACATACTTGCCTGAGGGCTTCTGTGCTAGCTGTTTCACCTGCCTGGTTGTTCTTCACAGAGATGCACATGGGTCATCCGGTCACCTCCTTTAAATGTCGCCTTGACGTGAAAAGCAACCCTGACCACCCTATTTAGTACCTACCCCTGCTAATCTCCTTACACTATTATTTTCCCTTAGCACCTACCATCTCCTAACACATATCATTTGCTTATGTATCTTGTTTTTGTCATCTTCTGTGACCTGCCTTCATCCTTACACTAGAATGTAAGCTTCGTGAGAGCTAGAATTTTTGCAACTGCCATTCCTATAACAATGCCAGAGACATGGTGACATAGTGGATGCTCAGTAAATATTTGTCAGATGAGTATTTATTAAGTGTTTTGGATCAGTTACTGTATTAGGAGTTGGAAAACTAGGATGCTGTGTTTTAGGTGTTTCTAAACCTGCGTACATATCAAACATCAAATGGAACCCTTGTTAAAATAGATTCCAGAGCCCCACCACAAAAAATTCTGTTTAAATAATCCAGAATGGGATTCAGAAATATATATGGGGACCCAAATAAAATGGCTACCCACTCCAGTATTCTTGCCTGGAAAATCCCATGGACAGAGGAACCTGGCAGGCTGCAGTCCATGGGGTCTCAAAGAGTTGGACATGACTGAATGACTAAAACACATACACACACACACATATAACCACACACATACAAACATACACACACCCACATATAGGGATCCAGATGATTCTGATGGAGCCCATGTTTCAGAGACCTTGAATGGCGAAAAGAACATGAGTTGGTGTCATATTCATCTAGCTTCAAATCTCTTCTTTACAATTTTATTAACTGACTGGGTGATCTCAGACAATTGACTTGGTAAAGCTTATTCTCTAGGAGCCTGTTTCCTCATCAGTAAACTAGAAGCAAGTATTTAGTGAATGAATAATTGAATGAATGGATGAGAGGCCCTCTAAAGGATACTTCATAAACAACATACCACAAGAATAGAAGATAGACTTTAATGAGAACCATTTAAGCGATGTTAATTTCCTAGTTCCCTCTAGGCATAGTTACTTTTAACAAGTAAACAAGCACATATCCTGTCCACTTTTCAGCCTTCTCAGTTTGGCAAAGGATAAACTTGCTGGGGCTTCATCCAAGTGTGAACTATTTATTCTCTGTACTTGAGTAGATAAGAGTTGACTCAGGCTGGCAGGTTATTTTGTTGTTGTTATTGACTTTGGCCAGAACTACTATGTCATTAGCTCTTTGGAAAATGTCCTAAGTTTATGAGATGGGTACATTTGATATCAATAAGTAAGTGGTATCTTGCTGGGGTCTTAAATATCTGTCTTTGAAATGATACTGTATTCTCTTTATTGAGACTGTGTCACCCCAGAATATTCCTCTCCGAGTTTGGGAAATATAAAAAAGAATTCATACACTGGTTTATGAAGATTGCCAAGGTTTATGAATGCTCATAGGTAACTTCAGAAAAAAATAGCTTTTCTGCAACTTTGAAGTTTATTTTCAAAGAGTAACTGGGGTAGTATTTTCCAGCATTAAATAATTCATCCATAAATTTAATTTGATTCTTTGACACAGCCAATAATAGAGACCGTTTTCATAGAAATATCTTCTTCACACTTTCCATTTTATCCTACTACTTGCAAATGCAGCTTATTTGATGATTAGGCACAGACTTACAGACTTGCAAAAAAATATTTTTTCTTATTTTACAATTGTCATTTATTTATCTATTTTACTATAACTTATCATTTATTGGTTTAAGATTTATCTCTTCAAAAACTCCTGGATATAGCAAGAGGTATCATTTTCTTCATTTCCAGGCTTTCCTGAGATCTGCATCCCAAACTTCAGCATAAGAAGAGTAATAAGCCTCTATTATTTGAATGATTGGCTTGCTGGTTTAATCCATGTAATCAAGGAAAGGAACATTAACTAGAAAATCATAGAAAGTGCTGTGTATACCCCAGGGCCACAACCATGCTGGGTCAACCTGCAGCACCCCTTTGCCTAATTTATTACCATTAACACTCTTTATTTAAGAACAAAACACATAAAATTAGCAAAAGTGAATTTGCTATATTATTTTCAATAGTAACTTTTAATACAAAGACAACTGGCTGCTTAAGAAAAAGTATTATTTAATATGCCTGCCCAAGCCAACAATAAATTATATATTTTTGAAAATGCTGCCGGCAAAGTAACAGGGGTAAGGCACTGAAATCATAATTGGCACTACTGTTTTGGCCCCATGACCAGTTTTACATCAGGGACTTATTTTCCAGTTTTTTTCCTCTGTAATCATTTGCTCTAGTAGAAATTAAATTGAATGGCATGCACAATAAACATGCTCCCTCCTGGAGTTCACATAGGCATTGTAAAATGCAAGCTAAACAGTGAGAGGCATTGAAGTGATTCACACACTGATCTTTAAAAAACTGAATAAGAGAAAAGAACTTCTAAAAGCCCAGGCTAGTTCAGAATCCCACCCACACTATTCCAGACTACCCATACTCCAACCCAAGCAAACATTTATATCTAATATAATTATGGCTGCTGCTGCTAAGTCACTTTAGTCGTGTCCAAATCTGTGCGACCCCATAGATGGCAGCCCACCAGGCTCCTCTGCCCCTGAGATTCTCCAGGCAAGAATACTGGAGTGGGTTGCCATTTCCTTCTCCAATGCATGAAAGTGAAAAGTGAAAGTTAAGTTGCTCATATAACTATGGAGACAGACCCAAATACAATGGAGTCAGCCTGGAGTCATAGGTATAAAACTAGCAAGTGAGGATGAATTCTACTTTGAAGAGTCTATGAACTGACTTTGCTGAAGTTGGTAAATATACTTAATATTTGTCTTTGCGATGCAAATCTAAGTTAAATAAAAAGAACTAACCAAAAAATTTTCTAGCTACTTTTAGAGAACTTTTCAAGAAAAGACACATTTTCAGCTGATCAGAAACTCTGTCAGATGTACCTAGAAATAAAACATGGTGATGCATTTAAATCTTTCTCCACCAAACTGGTTGTCTGAAAATCCAATTTCTCTTTAATTGCTAATAAGAAATGTTCTTCTGTTAGAGTTGACCCTTTCATTAATAACATGTGATGGAAATCTGGTTATAGGCTGGCTCTTGAAAGATTCTGGCTCTGGGAATATGTAGAGAGCAGTGATTAAAAGAAAAGCAAAATATTAAAGACAACTCAATGAAGCAAAGTATAAAGCATATGTATGATATAATAAATAAACCATCATTTACACTTAAAAATTGAAATATATGAAAACTAGTTTGATTAATTGAATCAGTGCCCTTATAACTTTTAAAGAGTGTTAAAGTTTACTCTAACTTAAATCTCAGAAATGGTCCCACTACCATGTCCCCACCACTACCCTTAGTTTTTTCTTCCTGAGTTAGTCGTTAGTTTCCCAGGTGGCACAGTGGTGAAGAATCCGCCTGCTAATGCAGGAGAAGCAAGAGAGGCGAGTTCAATACCTGGGTTGGGAAGATCTCCCGGGGTAGGAAATGGCAGCCTGCTCCAGTATTCTTGCCTGGAAAATTCCATGCACAGAGGAGTCTGGTGGGCTACAGTCCACGGGGTTGCAAAGAGTCAGACATGACTGAACACACACACACACACACACACACACACATCATAGTAATTTCTTAGCACATTTCCCCTGTATCAACTCCAGAAATGAAGCCAACTACCTATAACGTTTCTCAAATTGCTGCTCCTGACCTGCAACACAGTCAACAGTTCTCCCCGTTGATATTTATGGCCTGGCGTGCTGCGGTTCATGGTGCTGCAAAGAGTCAGACACGACTGAGAGACTGAACTGAACTGAGCTGAGATAATCACTACTGAATAGTGACAAATCATAAACAGAACGATGAGGAACCTGGACTTTATGGCTGGACTGTAACTAATGTATAGGTTCATGCAGGTTATTTAAATAATTATGCAAATATTCTATTTAATGTTTTGAACTTTACTTATCATGTTATGGTGGGGGTTGATGATAACTAGCTTCTTAATTTTTTATCTTTTTTTTTTCTCTAATAAGGAAGGCATTTAAAGCAATTCCTTATCCTCTGAATACAGTTATTACTGTGCTCCATAGATTTTGATATAATGTATTCTCCTTTTCATTGCTTTCCATATTGTTTTATAGTCTTTTTTTTTAATCTTTTCTTTGTGATCCAAGGAATCTTGAAGGGGATGTTTCTTAATTTTCAAGTTGCAGGGCTTGCAATCTTAATGATCAATAATTTGCAGAGGAAAAAATTCACTTTTCAATTATTTTAATGTTTATGATCAAAGAATGTGGCATCTCTTTGTGGTTTTAATTTATATTCTTTGATGGCAAGTAAGTTCCTTTCACTTGAAAGATTGTAAACTTTTTCTTTATAGCCTTTGAGTTCAGAAATTCTGTTCCATATAGGACAAGATATGCCTTGTCTCATGCCATCCTGGAACACAATGAGACTGTCTAAGCTTTGAGTCAGCTCTTTCTTCAGTATAGAGAAAATCATTTTTTCCTTTATGAATTTCCCATGTTAAGTTGCTTTCTCTCTATCTGGGGTTTTATTGATTCCTCTAAACAAATTCTCACCCTAGGCTTTCGCTTCTCCAAATTTTTCATGTTAAATCTTATAATATTTTTTATATTATGTTCTATGCTTTGAAGTATTTCATTAATTCATTAATTTTTTAAATGTATTAATAGTTATGGCAGCACAACCATCTGTCAGAACAACTAGAAACACTGGGTTAATTTAATGTTAGTCCTAAAACACTGGGGAACTACCAAGGTAGATGAACTTGAGAAGCCAAGACACAATATAGAAGGGAGGGACAGAGAAGTGAGTGCAACATTTATCTCCACAGGACTCCTCAAGAGATTTGCTAATTTGAAAGACATGAATGACGAACCACTAAGGTGAACAAAGCTTCTTTCAATCTCACTAGGTTTGGGAATAAAACTTTTAGTTTAGAAACTACCGTGGAGGTAGGTTTTAAGGGATCCACGCTAGTGTTGGGATTCAACTGTATGTAGATAAAGCCTCAGAGAGACTGAAAACTTTAATATTTATTATTTGATGTGATTAAATATCCTGAATATATGATTTAAGTATGATAATCTTTTCCTAGTCTAACTCCCCATTAGAATAAAATTAACCCTCTGTAGAAAGATATCTTCCAAAACTTCAAATTATTTCTCAAGTTTTTCCTTGAAATATAAGGTGTTCCAAGAGACAACACCAAACAAATGAAAATCAAGAGAAAAGATAGAAAATAGAGACAGAGGCACAAGAAAAAAAAAAAAGAGTTTTCAGATATCACTGTTAAACTAGTTGTAATTACAAGATCAAGAAAACGAGCAGAGAACTGCTATGAGCTGAGCTGAGTCATGTCAGTCGTGTCCTACTGTCTGTGACTGCAGGCTGTCAGGCTCCTCTGTCCATGGGATTCTCCAGGCAAGAATACTGGAGTGGGTTTCCATGCCCTCCTCCAAGGGATCTTCCCAACCCAGGGATCAAACCTGCATCTTTTATGTCTCCTGCATTGGCAGGCAGGTTCTTTACCACTAGTGCCACATAGGAAGCCCAAATGTGTGTGTGTGTATAAAATTTAACTCCCAAAAGTGAAAAAAATAAATACCCTAAAATGAGAATTTGATAAATGGGTTTAACAGAAGAATCAATGCAGCTGAAGAAGTGTTGGTAAGCTGGAAGATAGTCAGTAGGAAATATCTACACTGAATCTTAGGGATAACACAGAAAAGAAGGAAAGATGTATGACACACAGTGAAAAATATTAACCTATGTAAAAATGGAGTTCCAGAAGAAAAAAAATGAGAAGATGGGACAGAAATAAGAGTTGAAGAGAGGAGAACTGAGAAAGACATCAAAACACAAATTCAAGAAGCACTACCTTGTGGATGGGAGAAATTCATAACTAATGACATCATATCAAAACTGTTGAAAACCAAATAAGAAGAGAAAAATCTAACAACTTAAAGGAGAAAGTACACATTATTCTTAAAGAAACAACAATAAAATTAAAATTGACTTCTCAACAGAAATAACAGAATATAAAAGTTGCTAATGGGATTACATCTTCAAAGTGCTGAAATAAAATGAACCTAGAATTCTAGAGTTGACAATCTAGAATTCTATATGCAGTTTATGTGTTCTTAAACATAAAGGAAAATAAAGGTATTTTCAAACTATCTACCATACTGTCCTCCCCCAAAAAAGAAAATTAAAGAAATTGTCATCAGTTGATTAATTTGAAAGCAAACATTTTTTTTAAGGTTGTGACAGGTATTTATTTGTTTTTTTTTAGTTTAATAAATACATTTATTAATTATTAAAAACAAATTTGATGGGTATGGATATATTGTATAGTCTGTTGACTGTTGCAACCTCCAACATTATTGATGTCTTTATGGGTTTTTTTTCCCACTTATTTTTATTAGTTGGAGGCTAATTACTTTACAATATTGTAGTGGTTTTTGCCATACATTGACATGAATCAGCCATGGATTTACATGTATTCTCCATTGCGATCACCCCTCCCACCTCCCTCTCCACCCAACCCCTCTGGGTCTTCCCAGTGCACCAGCCCCGAGCACTTGTTTCATGCATCCAACCTCGGCTGGGGATCTGTTTCACCCTTGATAATATACATGTTTTGATGCTGCTCTCTCGAAACATCCCACCCTCACCTTCTCCCACAGAGTCCAAAAATCTGTTCTGTACATCTGTGTCTCTTTATCTGTTTTGCATATAGGGTTATCGTTACCGTCTTTCTAAATTTCATATATATGTGTTAGTATGCTGTACTGGCCTTTATCTTTCTGGCTTACTTCACTCTGTATAATGGGCTCCAGTTTTATCCATCTCAGTAGAACTGATTCAAATGAATTCTTTTTAATGGCTGAGTAATATTCCATGGTGTATAGGTACCACAACTTCCTTATCCATTCATCTGCTGATGGGCATCTAGGTTGCTTCCATGTCCTGGCTATTATAAACAGTGCTGAGATGAACATTGGGGTGCACGTGTCTCTAAAAGCAAACATTTTAAAGAGGTATTTAGTTAGAAGAAAACTTTTTCTGATTTACACATGAAAATTCAGGAAAAGATAAACAGCAATTAAAAAGGTAAAATGTAAATCTTAATAAATACTGGCTTATTAAATAATGATAATAAAAATACCTTGTAGCACTTAAAATGTATATAGAATGGAAATACATTTTTAAAATAGCAAAAATGGTGTTAGAGGGGTAAATGTAATGTGCCCTGAAGTTTTTGCATTGTCTTGGAAATGGCAAAAGTATTGATATATACTGCATTTTCTAGAGGAATCATTAAAAGAAT